CTGGCAGAGGCGCCGAAGCAGACTGCAGAGGAGCCATCGGCAGAGGCACCAGCTTCAGGGAAGCCGTTGGCGGAGAAGCCGATCCTGGGGGGGGGCGTCGTTAGAGGAGTTGCCGACAGGGGAGCAGTTCGACGGCGACTCGTCGAGTGACGACGTTGTGGAAGTCGTCGGTGCGGCCGGTGGCGGAGAAGGGGAGCAGTCCGAAGACGACGACGTGGTGGAGGTCGCGGTCGAAACGGAGAAACCGCGCCGTTCTACCCGCCCCAACATCGGCAAGCCGCCTAAGAAGCTGAGCTACCACGCTTGTCTGCCGCCGACGGCCTACAGCACTCTGCTCGACGATGCATGCTGACCCAGAGCATCGCTGGGACATCGCCAACATGAAGGTGAAGGAAGCGTTGGCGAGCTGGAAGGGCAAGGCGGTGAAAGCGGCTATGGCCGAGGAGATCAAGAGTCTCATCTCTAACGGGACGTGGGAGTTGGTCGAGCGTCCACGCGGTGTCAACATCATGAAGAACCGTTGGGTACTCACGACGAAGTACCACGTCGACGACACGGTCGCCCGCGAGAAGGCCCGCTTGGTCGTGAAAGGCTTCACGCAGGTTTACGGCGCAGATTACGACGAGACGTACGCGCCGGTGGGGAGCTACGTAACTCTGCGGATCTTTCTTAGCATCGTCGCGGTGCTCGACCTGCATCTGATGCAGCTCGAGATGAAGAATGCGTTTCTGCAGAGCAAGCTGGATCGTGTCCTCTACATGTACCAGCCCGACTACTTCAACTACGGAACTGGTCGCGTCTGCAAGCTACTGAAGAGCTTGTACGACTGAAGCAGAGTCCGCTGCTGTGGTACTCGGCGCTCGACGCGGTGCTAATCGGAGCGAACTGGAAGAAGAGCCAGGTCGATGAAGCGCTGTACTTCAAGGTCGGCAACGACGGAGTGGCGTGCTGGGTGCTCGTCTACGTCGACGACCTGCTCGCCACTAGCAGCAGCACTGCGATGCTGAAGGAGCTGAAGGAGCTGCTGGAGGCCGCCTTTGAGCTGCGCGAAATCAGCCCGGTCGAGAAGTATCTCGGGCTGGAAATCGTGCGCGACCGTCCTGCAAGGAAGCTGTGGCTTCACCAGCAAGTCTACGTCGACAAGCTGCGCATGCGTTTCATCGACGAGGAGCAGACCTGGCGAATGCCGAAGACACCGGTCTCCGTCGACGCCTACGCAGAGCTGGTGTTTGACGACGAAGAGTTTCAGTCGCGCGAGGAAGCAGAGTACCGGCAGAAGGTCGGCTCGCTGCAGTTCGTGGCCACCACGACGAGGCCCGACATTGCCTTCCCTTGCAGCAAGCTCGGATCCGGCCTGACAGTGCGGAGCGATCAACCACTGGCGTGAGGCAACCAATGGCTTTGATGACTCGGCCAAGCAGGGATCAACCACTGGCGTGAGGTCGATCCCTGTCTGCACTACCTCGCTGAAACTCGTGACGCCGCTCTGGAGTTCGGCGGTGGACCAGAGTCGCTGTGTCTGGTCGGATATGCAGATGCCGACGACGCTGGCGACAAGCAGAATAGGACGAGCACCGGTGGCTACGTTTTCGTCTTCGGAGGAGCCGCAGTCTCCTGGGCGAGCCAGCGCATCAAATGCGCGACGCTTTCGTCGACCGAATCAGTGTACGTCGCGGCCACCGAAGCCGGCAAAGAGGCTCGCTGTCTGCGCTTCCTCCTTGCAGAGTTCCGTCTGCTCGACCCAAGGAAGCCGACTGTTCTGCACGTGGACAATCAGTCTGCAATCACTGTCGCAGAGGGCTTGGGGCTCAAGGGCAACCTCAAGCACATGGAGCGACGCTACGCCTGGCTGCAGCAGATGGTGAAGCGCGGGAAATTTGCTCTGCAGTACATCCCGACCTCCGAGCAGCCGGCGGATTTTCTGACGAAGGCGCTGCATTTTCCGGCTTTCAACCGGTGCTCCGTCGCAATCGGCCAAGTGCGTTTGGCCGACGTGGGCGACGGGGATGACGAGGTGCAGCAGTAGGTGCCGTGCCCTTCTGCACGGCTGGTGCGGTGATCTACGTGCTATGTGTTGGGTGCACGTAGAAGAAATTTTCTCCTTGTATTCTATCCCTCTGGGTTCTGGGTGGACCTTGTGTGTGGGTGCCCAAGCGTGAGCTGGGCAGGGGAGTGTCGAAGAGAAAGGCCCCGCCCTCGCTTGGGCGCAGCCGATCTCGCCGTCGACGGGAAGTTCTCGACGGATTGGTAGAAGAAATGGGCTTATGCAGTTCGACGGAAGTGGCGGTCGAGCAAGCTCTGCTCGACAGAATCTGGTCGACGAGCTCTGCGCGACGAGCTCTGGTCGACGATCTCTGCGCGACGAGCTACCGTCGAGGAGCACTGGTTGAAGAGTTCGGGTCGAGGAACTCTGGTCGAAGAGTTCGGGTCGAAGAGCTCTGCTCGGCGAACGTTGTTCGACCGAGCGATGTCGAGCTGATCGACCGGAGTCGCAGAGTTGTGCGAAACTCTGCGGAGGCGTGCGAACTTTCGCCCAGGAGGTTTTGGCGAAGTTCTACCTTCGGAACGGCATCACGTGGTCGACGACGCGCACCTGGCGAAACCGACGACACGTTTTCTACCTGGCACCTGCGCAATGTGTCTGACGGTGAAACCGCCAACCTGCACCTACTTGGTAGGTGCGCACATCTGCGCAGATAGACAACCTGCGACTGCAGATAGTTACCTGCGACTGCAGATAATCACCTGCGACTGCAGTGCTGGCAGACCGCGCGCAGTGCAACGCTGGCAGACTACTCTGCTGCAGCGTTGGCAAGCCGCTCTTCTGCTGCGCTGGCAGATTTCGCCCTTGCTAGGTGTTGCATGCCATTCTAGTCCTTTTGTTCTGCATGCCTCAATTGCACTATCAACTTTTCATTGCAAGTTGTTCTTTCAACTTCCTTAGTGGAAACTCTTGCCAAACTTCTGTGTGAACACAAGCAGGCAGTAAGAACGTTAGTGCAAGCTACGATCACTCGCACAACCCCGTGCCCTCCTCTGTAATCCACTCCCGTTGTGTAGTGACTCTCCGCAGTTAGGTCTGCGTTAGGAGCGCTAGTCAGAACGTTAGGCTCGAGATAGGTCGCTTTAGGCTTAGCTAGGTTCGGGTCTGGGTAGGTCTAATCGGGGCCTAGGCTCGAATTAGCTAGGAGGTTACGTCGGTCAGTTGTGGTTGGGCGTGGTTTGGTTCGGTTAGGGCGCGTGTGTTCCGTGCCCAAGTTCGAAAAAAAATTCGAACTTTGTGTGGTTACCTGTTTCGCAAATTTCGCGAATAACACCTAACGAACATCGCGAATTTCCCGGATTAGGGAAGTTCGCACTTGAAAAGAGAACTAGACTCGAGCTGGCTTTCTGAACGTGGGTGCGCATGTTCATGCGCGCGTGTGTGATTTCTAGCACGTACGACGACCAGGCGAAACGGGCGATGGATTGGCGAAGCTCCACATGGCACAACGAACGCACGCTGCGACCACGGCGCGGGTCGCCGGACACGTGTCACCGTTCGTGGTACAACTCCAGAATCTTCATGAACGAGCTGGGGAAGCGTCATTGTCAGCGATTGACAAATTTCGGTGGTGCCACGGGGGCTATTTGTACCCAGAGATCACACGGAGCGCAAAGCTGTGTTGGAGGTCTAGTTGGATGTAATCCGAGGCGCTCCAGGTTGACGTGTCGCGACGTCAAGTCTCTTGTACCGGGTAACCTACGGTTCTGAACGCGGCTCGGCGCGTCTTTTACAAGGTCGAATGTTGGGGTTCGACCTTGTATGTGTGATTGCATCTTTGCAGTGTCATTCCGTCAAGGTGCGAACTTCGGTACAAGGAAACTCGAATTCGATTCGACTTAAGTTCGAAACCAAATTTCTGCCCTAAAATTATAAACTTTTGCCTATTTGACGGAACACACGCGCCCTTAGGTTTGTGTTCAACTCTTGCCTCTCGCTCCCTCACCCCTCGCGCTGGTCAACACCTACCGAGGAGGTTGTTGTGATCGAGGTGTTATTTTCTTCTGCCGTGTAATTAATTTTAACCGTCCCTCCCTCCTTTCTGCCCTGTAAAAAAGTATCCTCCCTCCCTAACAGGCATTTGCCTCTAGCGGCCAAGAGGGGTCAAGTTCAAGAAAGGCGCGGAGCTGTTTGGATCAGGCCTGTCGATTGACGGGCATATGCCCTTAATGCCCTGAACATTAAGGGCTAGTTTCGCTCCAGCTCCAATGCGTCAAGATTTTGTTTCGCACCCCACCCGTGCCACTAAGTGCTTCATTCGACCCTTGCCCGGATGCGTTAAGGGACGAAACCAGGCCTTCCCCTTTATCTAAGTTTTGGTTTCAGATCGTAGGACCCCCCCCCCCCCCTCCCCCCCCTCTTTCTCCTTAGCCTGCACTAGAGCGCGCCAAGGGGATTTTTCCCTTAGCGTTTTGTAGCCAATCCCGTGTGTGTAGCGTGTCTCTCAGTCAGCCTAGGAGCACCCGCACATTCCCTTAGCGTCCAATACGAGCTGGCCGCAGTGTACAGCTGTGACACATGGGATTATCTTGGGTAAATCTGGCTAAGTTGTTTGGCCACAGAGACATCTAAGACACTAAACCACAGCACGTCAAAGGAACTGAAGCACTCCAGCGCAGCAGCTCCCTCCCTCACCACCTTCGTTCGTGCGAGCCACGATTCCTCTCCACCACCATGCAATCCATCCACCACCACATCCCACCCATGGTTTCTCTTCCGCACCGTCCCACCACCTCCACGGTATCATCCACCCAAGCCCTCAGCTCTCCCCTCCCCTCTCGTACGTGCCATGCTATGGCACTTCTCCTCCACCCAACCACTCTGCCGAGTAAACCTCGCGTCGCCTAGCTCACGCACGCGATGTTTATAGTATGGGTAGCTAACCCGTTCGCTTCGTCAGCCACATTCTCCCACAATGGATCCTAGCGAGGGTGAAACCCCTCCTCCAGTTTTGCCCATGTCGAACGTTAGTCATTCTCATACTACGACCGAGACCGAGCCTTACGTACCCTCGGATGCTGAAGACATGCTAGACGTAGCAATCTCAGTGTTGGACCCGCGCCTCGCCCAGCAAGCATCATCGTCACAGACTACACCTCTGTCAGCAGCCCGCTACCGTCAGGTTCACCTTAGCTTCGCAAGTCCGCCACCAGATTCGCGAAAGCGCGCACGAAGCGTACCGCCTCCACCCACTGCTGAGGAGCTGGAGGCGCAGGACAAGGCTATCGCCGAGGATGCAGAAGTGCCCCCGGACACCGAGATCCCTGCTGCTGAGAAGGGTATGGCACGTCGCTTCAGCCCGTCGTGGAAGCAGACGTACTCGTGGCTGACACTGAAGTACAACAAAGAGGAGCGCCTGTATGGTATGAAGTGTTCCGTGTGCTGTAAGTTCGCTCCTAACACCAAGTCTCCCTTTGGCGGTGCTGGCGTCGGTGCAAGGGACTTTCAGAAGTCGGCGTGCCGCAACCATGACCAGTCCAAGGTGCACCTCGCGGCCATGGAAGCAGAACGACTCGCTGCTGGCACGGAGGTGAGGCAGCGCAGCCTCGTGAACATGCTCAGCGGCGATCCAGTCATGGCGAGGGTCGTCAAATGCATGCAAGCAGCTCAGTGGATTGCGCAGAACGATGCACCGATCGCTCTCTACCCCATGCTGGTGCGGTTCATGGCGGAGCAAGGATGCCCCGACATGATGAACAGCGAATCCTACGGGCGTTATTACTCGCGGTAAGTGTTTGTTACCCTCTGGTTCTGCACCTAATGTCCTGCTGTTTCTTCTCTTCGTTGCCTCTGTATTTTCGTACTTGTGCTTGTGTTATACTGTGAGTAACGTACATTTGGTGCTCATTGCAGATACGCCTTCGGCGAGTTCGTAGAGGCTATGGCGGAGCATCTGGTGGCCAGGCAGCTCGTGGACGTCAAAGAGTCGGCCTGGTACAGCCTCTCCTTCGATGAATCCACGGATCGCACCCGCGGAAAGCACCTCATCGTGTATGTCACGTTTGAGAGAGGCGAGGCCGTGGTGTCCCAGTTTCTTGCTCTCCTGTCGCTCGAGCGTTGCGACGCCGCTGCACTGTACGACACGATCGTGAAGTGCCTGTGGTCGAAGGACATGTCGATGGACAAGCTTGTCGGGGTTTCAACGGATGGTGCATCCGTCATGACTGGCTCGAAGAACGGAGTTGTCGCCCTGCTTCGGAAACGTTGCCCGTGGCTGGTGGCGATTCACTGCGTGGCGCATCGGTAAGGTTGCACTGCAATGTCCTGTTATCTTATTACCGTCGCCATACGTACTCACGAACCTGTCGTGCTTGTGCAGCGAGGCATTGGCTGCAAAGGATGCCGCGAAGAGCTTCAAGGAGTTCAACGTCGTCGATCAGATGATACGCCAGATTGCCGAGCGTCTCGGGCGTTCATCGACCGATCACAAGACCTACATGCATCTCCAGGACGTCATTCTGAAGACGCACCTGGAGGTGCAAGGCTTCTGCACCGTCCGTTGGCTGTCTCGCGGAGATGCTGTGAATCGCTTCTGCGACGTGCTGCCGGTGCTGATGTGGATGTGGACGAAGGAGAAGGACGGGATGGAGAAACTCGCTACCAGCTTCAAGTTCCACTACATGCTTTACCTCCTGGCTGACGTGCTGCAGCTGCTCAACGGACTCAATCTTGCCTTCCAGAAGCAGACGGTAAGATTGACATGAACATGTACTAGGCGCTTCTTCTCTTAAGTGCTTGGTTCTAATGTTTTCCCGCTCCGTTTGATTTCAGGTCGACATCACAGAGGTGAAGAATCACGTCGACAAGGTGAAGACCAAGCTGTCGCAGTACTACGTCGAGCCCAGCGCATCCTACGGGCCGAACACCTCTCGCCTGAACAAGTTCCTTGCTGCACACGGCAGCAAGGACAAGCGCAAGATGGAGCTCAAGTGAGTGGGTGGCGACGGCAAACCTGCAAAAGCCGAGATCGAGCTCCACGAGGACATCATCGACCCTGAAAACCCGGGGGGGGGATGCGACTTGGAGGCCTGCGTGGACCTGGCGCGGCGTTTCGCTCAGCGCCTGATTAAGGCGCTGGGGAAGAGGATGGCGGACCTGCGCCATTTCGATGGTGTTGGGTTTTTCACCCCTGATTAGTATCCCTTCCGTGCAGGAGAGCAGGATACATGGCTGCAGCACCATCTCACCGAGCTCCTGGACATGTTCAAGAACCAGCTACCTGGTAAGCCTAGATTAGTATGAAAGGAACCCACGTATGTTCTAACTTTGTACGTATTATGCTCACACAATGACGTAATCTAACTTCGTATATGTCCTTGGCAGGAGTCGCTCTTGCTGACATAGAGCCGCAGATGCGCCTCTTCACAGCCACCATGGAGAAGAAGTTCAAGAAGCAGAGCTTCCATCAGGCTCTCACCAACATGCTGCGCACTGCAGACTGGAAGGATGACTATCCCACCATAGTCTCTCTCTGGCGTGCGGTCTCTGTGTTGCCCCTCAGCACTGTTGAGTGTGAGAGGGGCTTCTCCCGCCAAAACATTATTAAGTCGTGGGATCGTGTTGCTCTTACTGATGTTAGGCTGGGGGAGCTGATGACGGTGAAGATGCTAGACTACCCAGTGGACTGGGCAGCGGCCTATGCCTTGTTTGAGGATAAGGGGAGGAAGGGGAGGAAGCCTGCCAACTAGGCTCGCATTGGATGTCGGGTTAGAGTAGAGTAGCTGAGCTCTGCATGCCATATCTGTAGTTAGTGTAGAGAATAAGAACTTAACAGGCTAGGTAGGTTTTATGACTATTTAAGACATGTGTAGTGTTAGGTGTCTTTGACTTCTAATTTAAGTACATAACAGCACTTATCATAGTAAAATGAAGTGTAAGTGCAAACTTCAAACATGCCCTGATTTCAAGTTCTGACTTTGGGGTGCGCCCGTGACCCTTAAGGGCGCCAAAACGCTCACCTACCCCCAACCAAGGGTCAGATTGGGAGGAGCTGGGGAGCGCAAGTACGAGCCCCAGGAACTTCGACAGGCCTGGTTTGGATCTGCAGATACGGTGGTTAACACTTAGGGATTCTAGGGATGCTTGGCAAGCACTTGTAAATCTGTATTCATAGATATAAATTATCTCTGTTCTTTACGACTGTAAGTGACTAGGACGAATCCATATTTGCGTGGTAGACAAATTTCAAAGGGAATGAACCGTAAACAAGTGCAGAAAACAGACTCTGGAAGAGCTCAACTGAACAATAGATACGGAATACACAACACACGCTGTTTGTGCTCGTCAGCTGCAGGAGCTGCTTCCACATTCCACGCTAATCACAGCATCCATTTACTCGCGAAAGTAGTTTTTTAGGATCATCACGAAAGTTTGGCCCTCTTTCCACTAAACTCTCTATCGTACACTACCTAGGTATACTACGGCGACTGTAGTTAAATTTATCGTCGCGATTACTTTGCGATCACAACGCGAGCGAGAAGGCTAAATTCGTTGACAAAAAACGGACGCCCCACTTTTCCTTATCCAGATTGTTAGCCCTTGTGGACTATGGCGACGCGAGGGCTGATAATCCTATTCTTATTCTTTATTTCGTACGATTTGTGTCCTGAGTTATCATCGCAGTTCTGCTTGCTGTGCGTAGAATACGTCAGACTTCGCAATAATGTGTGATGCTGGCTCGTCGTAGAAGGAGTGTCCCTTCGGAATGCGTTTCGTGTTTAGGAGATGGAGCCTTCACGAAAAATAATCGGTAGCTTTGGGGTTGAGCAGGTAAAGGTATTCACAATGCTCCGAAATTGCTGTTTCTTGTGCAAGACAGTACATAAGGTGCCTTGTGTGCCTCAGGTTTCAACCTCATGGAGACGTCTCTCCTTGAGGCGTGTAGTTATCATTGTATCTTTCTCATTTCAATCCCTGGGGCCTATCCTTAACTTTCCACCTAGATCCATAACCATCTCATCGTCTGCCCTTCTTTCTGCACCCCACACCCCGCCCCCCTCCCCCCCCCCCCCTCCCCCCCTCTTCCCCCCCTTCCCCTCTACCCTCTCTACTCGCGTGGCTAGCGGAGAATTTATCTGGGGAAGATCGTCGTAAAGCACAACTTGCCTATCTCCTTCATTCTCTTTAAATTCTGCACGTGATGTTCTGCACGGCTCATTCCAACAGAAGAAAATGCCATCTGGATTGTGGAAGTGCATCAACGTTTCTATCATCGGCTGTCTGTGCCTCCTGTACTCAGATCACATTGTGTCTGTGGTATGTATGTACCTTATGACCTGTGGTAAAACGTGTTGAAGTGCAAACCAGGATGTGAGTTGTCGTTATCCATGTGCAATCATTCAAATCAGATACCATACTACCAATTGAATGGGGGTGGGAGTTTACGTTTGCTTCATATCGAGCATCAATGCTGCTGTTGTGGCATGGCACGGCCTATTATGCCCCCCCAATTTGACTCTGGAATAGTTGCTGACAGAGTGACCCAGCAAATGTGCATTATGTGCGTTGCAATGAAAACTGCGGGATGCATAGATTTACCCTTCCAAAACAAGGTAACAATATTAAGGTGAAATGGGGCCAAAGACATCGTGTATGAAAAGGCGAACTTTTATTTTAGAGTATATCACAACTAAATAATTTGCATGATGCTATCCATATTAGCCTGGATGATCTTCTATGGTATAGCTCTTTAACTTATTTACACATCATACCGTATGTGAATGCATTTATTTAATATGACGTTCAACTGGTGTTCTTTGTGCAACGCAACTGGAGATGCCAAAGGAATCAGCGGCCCCCCACTCGATGACGTGCAGAATTGGCGCGCCAAGGCATCACAGATACGAAGGTTTCGTTTGTAGCTCACCACCACCCTCCCATCTTTGCCTCCGAAAATTACGTGGCACGAAAGCACACCAGCCGCACTTCCGCCTTGGTAAACCAAGTTGTGTCATTGGCCGTGGCAGCTCGAAGCGGCTCACAGCACCGCCTGGTTAGGTTTGGGGTTGCTGCCCTGGCTGGTGCGGCACTCGTCCGCGATTACCGCGCCGCAGAGGGGCTTGCCCCGAGCCTCCACCCTCCACAGGTTTCGCTCCCCAACCAACCTCCGCCCAACCTCTTCTCAAGCGATATCGTCGCTCTCGCAGATTTTGAGGGCAAACCTCGAAGTTGTCGCTGCGATGCGATCCAAGCAGACTCCTTCACCTCCAACCCAGTCATGCACGCACAAGGACACTGCTCTCCTTAGCTTCTCATGTGCTTGAGGTGCAACCTAACTGCGTCCTAGGAAGGAGTCAGAGAGGTGGTACGGTGCTACGGCGGTGTTCCGTAGTTAGTCTTACTTGATTGTTTCGTAGTTAACTTGTACTTGTAGCTCCTGTAGGTGGGCATGGAGGGGGGCGGAGGTGACTCCGTAAGTATGAGCTCAATGTCAGCCGATGACTCGGCAAGGAAGCCGAAGCTCCAGCATTCAGAAAGTGAGTTGGATGACTCGCGTCACGTCAGATAAGCACTAGCTGTTGATATGCCCTTCCGCTCTTGTAAAAACAATAATCTCGCTGTTGTGTAATGCATACGATGAATGAACAAAGTTATTGTATTTTCACTTCCTGGTGTAGCCTCGTATATAATACGTCTGGTTGGGTCGCCCTTCTTCCAGCCGATCAGGCCGCGCTCAGCCACCAAACCTTCAATCAAGCGCTAATACATACCCAACTGTATATTGCAAGTAACGTTTTCGTAAACATGTCATTTCAAACTCCTTTCTTGATCGTGGCTCACGATCCGTGGACTTACGTGTTCTTCGTCCAAGTTATTGAGGATCGTAATGTCCTTGTGTTCTGGCTGTCAATAGAGGCCGATCGACGGAAGCTCAACCGCTACATGTCTCATGATGTTCCTTAAAATCATTGCAGGCAAGTCCGGCGCCGGACGCGGGCGTGGAGGAGGCAGAGATGCGGCAAGAGGACGCGGCGGAACGGCAAGCGGAGGTCGAGCGAGCACTACTGATGGTGGCAGGGGCCGCGGTGCCGACGGCAAGGGCAGGGGAGACGCCGTCGCTGGTCGCGGGAAAGCCGGTGAGGCTGCGGCCACGAGGGGCCGTGGAGCTGCTGCGGGAGGTCGCGAGGGCGCCAGAGGACGAGGCGCGGAAAGCGGACGAGGACGGGGGGTTGCGACAGCAGGCCGAGACGGAGGTCGCGGTGGCAGAGGTGGCGAAGGAGGGAGGGGCAGAGGCTTAGACGGGGTGGGTGGCCGTTCCGTGGGGGCTCGAGGCAGAGGCGATGCCGCGCGGGGAAGGGGTGGTAGAGGCCGCGGAGCTAGCGGACGAGGGGAAGGGCTTAGCAAGAGCAAGAGCCAAACGAAGGACGAGGAGCAAGGTGATAGATCTCCTGTGGCTACTCATGAAGAGGCTTCAGGAGGAGCATCTGGTGAAGACTCGCACGAGGTTGATAACACTGATAACTCCGATGTTTCAAAAGAGAACGAGGACGGAACCCCGAAGGAAGGAGATTATGATGGTGCCGAGGAGGGCGGAAAGAATCTAGCTGCGGAAGCCGAACATGATTATGAAACTCCAGGCGCATACGCTGAAGCGGCGGATGAAACTGAGGAAGATGCAAGCGCGGTTGTAGAGGAATATGCCGCTGAAAGGGCCGCAGAGGAAGACGGCGAACGGAAGGCTGGTGCTGTGGACGACGAAGCGACGTATGCCGAGGAGCAGACTGAAAGGAAGGCGGCAGAGGAGGACGATGCGATGAAGGCTGCAGTGGGGGAAGCTTCGATTATGGCTGCAGAGGGTGAAGCTTCGATTATGGCTGCAGAGGGTGAAGCTTCGATTATGGCTGCAGAGGAGGACGATGCGATGAAGGCTACAGAGGAGGTAGCTGCGATGAAGGCTGCAGAGGAGGAAGCTGCGATGAAGGCTGCGGAGGAGGAAGCTGCAAGGCTGGCTGCAGAGGAGGAAGCTGCAAGGAAGGCTGCAGAGGAGGAAGCTGCAAGGAAGGCTGCAAAGGAGGAAGCAGCAAGGCTGGCTGCAGAGGAGGAAGCTGCAAGGCTGGCTGCAGAGGAGGAAGCTGCAAGGCTGGCTGCAGAGGAGGAAGCTGCAAGGCTGGCTGCAGAGGAGGAAGCTGCAAGGCTGGCTGCAGAGGAGGAAGCTGCAAGGAAGGCTGCAGAGGAGGAAGCTGCAAGGAAGGCTGCAGAGGAGGAAGCAGCAAAGAAGGCTGCAGAGGAGGAAGCAGCAAAGAAGGCTGCAGAGGAAGCTGCAAGGAAGGCTGCAGAGGAGGAAGCTGCAAAGAAGGCTGCAGAGGAGGAAGCTGCAAAGAAGGCTGCAGAGGAGGAAGCAGCAAAGAAGGCTGCAGAGGAGGAAGCAGCAAAGAAGGCTGCAGAGGAGGAAGCAGCAAAGAAGGCTGCAGAGGAGGAAGCTGCAAGGCTGGCTGCAGAGGAGGAAGCTGCAAGGCTGGCTGCAGAGGAGGAAGCTGCAAGGAAGGCTGCAGAGGAGGAAGCCGCGAGGAAGGCTGCAGAGGAGGAAGCCGCAAAGAAGGCTGCAGAGGAGGAAGCTGCAAAGAAGGCTGCAGAGGAGGAAGCAACAAAGAAGGCTGCTGAGGAGGAAGCAGCAAGGCTGGCTGCTGAGGAGGAAGCTGCAAGGAAGGCTGCTGAGGAGGAGGCTGCAAGGAAGGCTGCAGAGGTGGAGGCTGCAAGGAAGGCTGCAGAGGAGGAGGCCGCAAGGAAGGTTGCAGAGGAGGAAGCTGCAAAGAAGGCTGCAGAGGAGGAAGCTGCAAGGCTGGCTGCAGAGGAGGAAGCTGCAAGGCTGGCTGCAGAGGAGGAAGCTGCAAGGCTGGCTGCAGAGGAGGAAGCTGCAAGGCTGGCTGCAGAGGAGGAAGCAGCAAAGAAGGCTGCAGAGGAGGAAGCTGCAAGGCTGGCTGCAGAGGAGGAAGCAGCAAAGAAGGCTGCAGAGGAGGAAGCAGCAAAGAAGGCTGCAGAGGAGGAAGCAGCAAAGAAGGCTGCAGAGGAGGAAGCAGCAAAGAAGGCTGCAGAGGAGGAAGCAGCAAAGAAGGCTGCAGAGGAGGAAGCAGCAAAGAAGGCTGCAGAGGAGGAAGCAGCAAAGAAGGCTGCAGAGGAGGAAGCAGCAAAGAAGGCTGCAGAGGAGGAAGCAGCAAAGAAGGCTGCAGAGGAGGAAGCAGCAAAGAAGGCTGCAGAGGAGGAAGCAGCAAAGAAGGCTGCAGAGGAGGAAGCAGCGAAGAAGGCTGCTGAGGAGGAAGCAGCAAAGAAGGCTGCAGAGGAGGAAGCGGCAAGGAAGGCCGCAGAGGAGGAAGCTGCAAGGAAGGCCGCAGAGGAGGAAGCTGCAAGGCTTGCCGCAGAGGAAGCAGCAAGGCTGGCTGCAGAGGAGGAAGCTGCCAGGCTGGCTGCTGAGGAGGAAGCTGCAAGGAAGGCTGCTGAGGAGGAAGCTGCAAGGAAGGCTGCTGAGGAGGAAGCTGCAAGGAAGGCTGCAGAGGAGGAAGCTGCAAGGAAGGCTGCAAAGGAGGAAGCTGCAAGGAAGGCTGCAGAGGAGGAAACTGCAAGGCTGGCTGCAGAGGAGGAAGCTGCAAGGAAGGCTGCAGAGGAGGAAGCTGCAAGGAAGGCTGCAGAGGAGGAAGCTGCAAAGAAGGCTGCAGAGGAGGAAGCAGCAAAGAAGGCTGCAGAGGAGGAAGCTGCAAAGAAGGCTGCTGAGGAGGAAGCTGCAAAGAAGGCTGCTGAGGAGGAAGCTGCACAATTGGCTGCAGAGGAAGAAGCTGCAAGGAAGGCTGCAGAGGAGGAGGCCGCAAAAAAGAATGCAGAGGAAGCTGCGAGGAAGGCTGCAGAGGAGGAAGCTGCAAGGAAGGCTGCAGAGGAGGAAGCTGCAAGGCTCGCTGCAGAGGAGGAAGCTGCTGTGAAGGCTGCAGAGGAGGAAGCTGCACAACTGGCTGCAGAGGAGGAAGCTACGAGGAAGGCTGCTGAAGATGAAGCTGCAAGGAAGGCTGCTGAGGTGGAAGCTGCTAAGAAGGTTGCTGAGGAGGAAGCTGCCAGACTGGCTGCAGAGGAGGAAGCGGCAAGGAAGGCTCTAGAAGAGGCTGAGAGAAACGTTGCAGAGGAGGATGCAGCAAAAGATCTAGGGGAGGAAGTCAAGGCTGCTGAAGAGGAACCAGCAATCAAGCTTTCAGAGCAGGATCTTACGAAAGGTGTTGAGGGTGCCGCTTCTACTGAATCTGCAGCTACAACAAGTGCAAACGCTGTAACTGATGTGCCTGCTTCTGAGCCTTCCACTGCTGCTTCTGAGCCTGCTTCTGAGCCTGCTGCTGCTGCTTCTGAGTCTGCTACTCCTGCTGCTGCTTCCGAGTCTGCCACTCCTGCTGCTTCTGAGCCTGCCACTGCTGCTTCTGAGCCTGCTGCTGCTGCTGCTGCTTCTGAGCCTGCTGCTGCTGGTTCTGAGCCTGCTGCTGCTGCTTCTGAGCTTGCTGCTGCTGCTTCTGAGTCTGCCACTCCTGCTGCTTCTGAGCCTGCTGCTGATGTTGCTGCTGCCCCTGCCGTTGCTGAGCCGGCTTTTGAGCCTGCTGCTGCTGCTTCTGAGCCTGCTGCTGCTGCTTCTGAGTCTGCTACTCCTGCTGCTGCTTCTGAGTCTGCCACTCCTGCTGCTTCTGAGCCTGCTGCTGATGTTGCTGCTGCTCCTGCCGTTGCTGAGCTGGCTTCTGAGCCTGCTGCTGCTGCTTCTGAGCCTGCTGCTGCTGCTTCTGAGCCTGCTGCTGCTGCTTCTGAGCCTGCTGCTGCTGCTTCTGAGCCTGCTGCTGCTTCTGCCCTTGCTGAGACTGTTGCTACTACCGCTGCTGCTTTGGAGCCTGCTGCTGATACAGCTGCTGCTCCTGCAGTTGCTGAGACTGTTGCTGCTGTTGCTGCTGCTTCAGCTGTTGCTTCTGAGTCAGTTGAACCATCTGCTGTTCCAGCTGGTGATGCTGTGGCACCTGCAGCCCCAGCCGAGAAGGCCCCGTCACCTCGAGCCATGACACCACCCCAGCCAGTGGTGGCATCTGCAGATGCCCCACCGGTCTCTGCACCACCAGCTGCTACAGAAAAGGCTGCTCCGGCTGCTGCGCCTGCCCCGCCTCCCAAGAAGGGGGGTGGTCTGTTCGCTTGCTGCTTTGGTGGGAGTTAGGTGGTTTAACTTATGAAAGGTCAATCAGTTGCTCTTGTCCGCCATATCTGAAGGTTAGACTAGTAGCGTATGTGATAGCCTTTTGTTGGGAATGGCCATTGAATTTCTGCGATGCTTTAACATGTAATAGCTATTTTCTTTTTCTCAGTATTAGCTTTTGTATACCATCAGTCTGTCCATGCAGATAACATAATATGTCCTTACATGTAAACAGGAACCCTCACTCAAATGCGCGCTTCTTTATCGAGTCGATTCAGTTTTTGCCACGGTACCGCCTGGCAGTTGTGGCGTGGCAACCGTCATTTCCGCCTGTGGCCACGTCAACTCCGTGCCCTCCAGGTCCGTGTACTTCAATTCGCTCTTCCGCGAGTCGGACGACTGATTGCCCCTGCCTGTGCGCCTCCGCTGATGCTCCCGTGCGGGTGGCAGTGGCACTGCCACCAGCGAGTTGGTCTGTTCGACAACATCGAGGGTCGAATCGAAACCAAACTCCTCCACTGATGAGAGGGACCTGACCAGCACCAAGCCATTCACATTCACTCAACCCAACCGCCCTCCGCTGCTCTCTTGCTTCCTTTCCATCACTCCATTCCATCCCGCAATTCTCGCCTCCCACCCTCTGCACGCTCCACAAACACCGCGCGTCGCGTATCTTCTGCGCTCCTTGTCCCGAACCCCCCGCGCGTCGCGTATCTTCCGCTGCGCACGCCCCTCGACTCGCACAGCGCCCCGCAAGATGCTAGCGAGAGCAGTTGCGCGGATTGGGCGGAACGTGCGAGCGGCGCGTGTTGGAGGAAGCCTGTCTGGGCGTTCGCTACCGGAGGTAGTAGGGCGGAAATCAGAAGGCACACAGATTGAATTCTCCGCTCTCCTGGGTGGGAAGCGGAAGATAGGCCGCGCGGTCGTTTTTTTTTACCGCTGCTTTGCCCTCGCCGTCGCATCCTCTGCGGCCCGTTATCCCCGCGCTTTCCCGCCCCTCCTGTTCCGCCAAGCGCCGTCGTTCCATGGCTCCGCGGTCTCTCCGCGACCTCTCCGCGCAACTTCTCTACGCGGGCTGCTCCGCCAGCCGCCTCTGCTCACCTCTCCCGTCCGCCGCGATACTCTCTTCCCTTCCACCCCATCCCCACCCTCCCGCTCTTCCCCCAACCGCACAGGTTCCTGTCATGGCTGCAGCAGGCGGGTGGCAGGCGGAAGTGGCGTCGAGCGCGGGGGCAGCAGCGCGCGGAGGTAGCTGCGCGGGGTTCTCGTCCGCAGCGGTGGGCGGAGGATCGGCGCTGCTGGATGACACGGCCGTGCAGGTGAGACGACGTAGGCATGAGGGGCTGTAGGCGACGTTGGTAGCCTCGTGATGACTGTATGGGGTTTTAAACTTCTAAAGTCACGCCATGGGGTGCTGGTATGGTAGGTGTTGACCAGGCGTATGCCCTCGCTGCGCCTCCCCGTGCTCCCCTGCCGCTTCTCCTTCTCCACGGTCCACCAACTTACCACCGCCTCCTGCTGCTCTCTGCGCCCTCTGCGTTGCTGTATGTGTGTCGGGGGCTGTCATGGGCATGGGGATGGCACGGTGGGAGAGGGGGTGTGTTGGCATGATGGGAGGGCTTGTGTGTGTGTGCATGGGTGTGTGTGCATGGGTGTGTGTGCATGGGTGTGTGGGCATGGGTGTGTGTGCATGGGTGTGTGTGCATGGGTGTGTGTGCATGGGTGTGTGTGCATGGGTGTGTGTGCATGGGTGTGTGTGCATGGGTGTGTGTGCATGGGTGTGTGTGCATGGGTGTGTGTGCATGGGTGTGTGTGCATGGGTGTGTGGGCATGGGTGTGTGCATGGTGCATGGGTGTGTGTGCATGGGTGTGTGTGCATGGGTGTGTGTGCATGGGTGTGTGTGCATGGGTGTGTGTGCATGGGTGTGTGTGCATGGGTGTGTGTGCATGGGTGTGTGTGCATGGGTGTGTGTGCATGGGTGTGTGTGCATGGGTGTGTGTGCATGGGTGTGTGTGCATGGGTGTGTGTGCATGGGTGTGTGTGCATGGGTGTGTGTGCATGGGTGTGTGTGCATGGGTGTGTGTGCATGGGTGTGTGTGCATGGGTGTGTGTGCATGGGTGTGTGTGCATGGGTGTGTGTGCATGGGTGTGTGTGCATGGGTGTGTGTGCATGGGTGTGTGTGCATGGGTGTGTGCGCATGGGTGTGTGTGCATGGGTGTGTGTGCATGGGTGTGTGTGCATGGGTGTGTGTGCATGGGTGTGTGTGCATGGGTGTGTGTGCATGGGTGTGTGTGCATGGGTGTGTGTGCATGGGTGTGTGTGCATGGGTGTGTGTGCATGGGTGTGTGGGCATGGGATACCATGCAGTTCAAGGAGAGCGTGCACAAGTTCGCACAGGAGGTCATCGCACCGCACGCTGCTGACATTGACCGAAACAACACCTTCCCCAAGGTACCTCCCCCCAAGTACCTGTCCTCACACTAGCCCTCTACGCCACCACACGTTCTACCCAATGTGCAGTCTATTCTTGCAGTACGTTCAAGACCGACGTACTTTATCTCTCTCCCCTTCTCCCTCCTCCACTCTCTCTCTCCTGCTTTCTTTCCCCAGTCCCCTCCCCTCCTCTCTCTCACCATCCTCCATGTGCCTTCCAAGGCCCTCCCTCCGCGTTCCTTTCAACAGCCACGTTTCTTCTCTGTCTTCCTTCCACCCTTCTCCCCTCCTCCCCTCCCCCTTCCCCCTCCTCCTCCTGGGCAGCATGTGAATCTGTGGAGGCTAATGGGTGACTTTCATCTGCATGGCATCACTGTGCCCGGTCAGTGCTGCTCACCCGCGTGCCATCAATGCCGCACGCCCGCGTGCCATCCCTATCCTTGCATGCCATTCCCTGCTGTGCATGCCGTGCCACCTCTTGCCGCACCATGCCATTCCAGGCCCCGCCACATCATGCCGTTCTCTGCCATGCCATCCCTCCCGATCTCCATACCTCTCAACATCAACACATCTGCCCGGCCCCCCCACCAACGCATGTGCGCGAGCAGAGCAGGAGGGCGGCATGGGGCTGGGGTACCTGTACCACTGCGTGGCCATGGAGGAGACCCCCCCCCCTCCCATTTACATGCCCTTTCTCCCTCTCACAAACCACACATGTGCCCATCCCCCCCCCAACATCCCCCTCACTCATGCACGCATGTGGACGCACAGAGCAGGAGGGCGGCATGGGGCTGGGGTACCTGTACCACTGCGTGGCTATGGAGGAGATCTCGTCTTTTGAGACGCCTCAAAAGTCAACATCCACACATCTGCTCGTTTCCCGCATCCCCCCCACCCCACCCACGCGTGGACGCACAGAGCAGGAGGGCGGCATGGGGCTGGGGTACCTGTACCACTGCGTGGCCATGGAGGAGGTCTCGCGCGCCTCAGGCGCCGTGGGGCTCTCCTATGGCGCACACTCCAACCTCTGCATCAACCAACTCGTGCGTGCCCTGCATGCCGCCATGCATGCTGCCGTGCTGCCCATACATGCCGCGCTGCCATCCTTGCAGTGCCTCGTTTCCTCTTGCAGCAACGTCCCCCTCCTCGAGCTTCGCTTTTTCCAACTGCTTGCACTGTTTTGCTGCTGCTTGGCTCAACTGGGTGTTGGTTTTATGTTGCCACTGTTGGCACAGGTGCGGCATGGAAGTGAGGAGCAGAAGGCCAAGTACTTGCCCAAGGTGGGATGCATGCATGGCATTCACATGGCACACACATGCACACACATGCACACACATGCACACACATGCACACACATGCACACACATGCACACACATGCACACACATGCACACACATGCACACACATGCACACACATGCACACACATGCACACACATGCACACAATGCACTCACATGCACACACATGCACACACATGCGCACACATGCACACACATGCACACACATGCACACACATGCACACACATGCACACACATGCACGCACATGCACACACATGCACACACATGCACACACATGCACACACATGCACACACATGCGCACACATGCACACACATGCACACACATGCACACACATGCACACACATGCACACACATGCACACACATGCACACACATGCACACACATGCACACACATGCACACACATGCACACACATGCACACACATGCGCACACATGCGCGCACATGCACACACATTTCACCAGGCAGACACATACACACGCAACCACGCACACACACAGAGCACAATCATGCAACCACACTTACACACAGCGATGTTGCAGCCTCGCTGCTGCTACCCCCCCACCCGACCATCTTTCTGCCCTTTCCTCCCCTCCCCTTCCCCCTCCCCTCCTTCAACCCATCTGCAACCCTCGTCTCCCTCCCCCCACCGCCACCCCCACCCCATGCGTGCAGCTGGTAGCGGGCGAGCATGTGGGCGCACTGGCCATGAGCGAGCCCAACCCGTCCACCTCTCTGTCCTTCTCTTCACCACACAACCCCCACTCCCACTCGCACTCTTCCTAACCGCCTTCCCCCTCTTCCACATCTTCTCCCTCCCCCCTCTCCCCTCCGCCACCCCATGCGTGCAGCTGGTAGCGGGCGAGCATGTGGGCGCACTTGCCATGAGCGAGCCCAACTGTGAGGCGGGGAGGGGACAGATGGGGACGAGGGGGAAGGCGGTTAGGAAGAGTGCTAATGGGAGGGGGGGTTGTGCGGTGAAGGGGAGGGGGATGATTCATAGAGAGGGAGATCATGCATGGGCACTGCAGTGCTCATGTGCTGCTTTCATGCACCAGCTTGGCTCGTGGCACCACAGCCACATTCCAACACCACCTTGCTCCCACATCCCCTGCTCATCCCCTCCGACATGTCTTTCCGCACTCATAGCATCCCCGCACATCACCGCACTGCTCACCCCCTCCCTCGCTTCCTCCCTCCCTCCCTCCCTCGCCCCCGTTCTCCTCCGGGCTGTGTCCCCGCGTTTCCTCCCTCCCTGCAGCGGGGTCGGACGTGGTGAGCATGCGGTGCCGAGCGGAGAGGGCGCAGGGGGGCTACGTGTTGAATGGCACCAAGATGTGGTGCACTAACGGGCCCACAGCTAACACCCTTGTGAGCTGCCCGCCCTGCCCATGCCATGCAGTGTACTGTGTACTGTGTCTTGCCTTGCCATGCCACTCCATGCCATGCCATACCGTGCCGTATTGTGCCATGCTGTGCTGTGTCGAGCTGTGTGATGCGCCATTAGCCCACTCCCCCCTCACGGCAACACAAATCTCCCTGTCTGTGTTTCTCATGTCCCATGATTTGAATCCCATGCGTGCCATGCCATGGCGTGCCATGGGGGGCAGGTAGTGTACGCCAAGACGGACATCAAGGCGGGGCCCAAGGGCATCACAGCCTTCATGAATCTCCCTGTGTGTGTTCCCCATCCCTCGTGGATCACACCCCATGCATCGCATGCCATCACATGCCATCATATGCCATGGGGGGCAGGTAGTGTACGCCAAGACGGACATCAAGGCGGGACCTAAGGGCATCACAGCCTTCATTATCGAACAGGGCATGGACGGGTGAGGCGTGCAGGGGTGATGGATGCAGGTGTGAGGCGTGCAGGGGTGCAAGGGATGGTAGGAGTGAGAAGGAGAGGGGTAGGAAGAGCACATGCGGAAGGAGTGGGCTCATGCTTTACCATCCCTGTGCACGGCATGGCAGGTTCCGAACGGCTCAGAAACTGGATAAGCTGGGCATGCGAGGCAGTGACACGTGAGGCCCCATTCCCCCTCCCTTCTCCCTGTCGTTCTGACCCTCACTCATGCTTACCATCCCCGTGCATTGCATTGCATGGCAGGTTCCGAACGGCTCAGAAACTGGATAAGCTGGGCATGCGAGGCAGTGACACGTGAGGCCCCATTCCCCCTCCCTTCTCCCTGTCGTTCTGACCCTCACTCATGCTTACCATCCCCGTGCATTGCATTGCATGGCAGGTTCCGAACGGCTCAGAAACTGGATAAGCTGGGCATGCGAGGCAGTGACACGTGAGGCCCCATTCCCCCTCCCTTCTCCCTGTCGTTCTGACCCTCACTCATGCTTACCATCCCCGTGCATTGCATTGCATGGCAGGTTCCGAACGGCTCAGAAACTGGATAAGCTGGGCATGCGAGGCAGTGACACGTAAGTCCCCCTTTACCTTCCCCCCTCGCCTCTCCCTCACTCTCGCCCCCTTCTCTCTTATTCCATCATCCTCCCCTCTCTCAGAGCACCGTTTCCCAAGTCCTTTCCTTGCCACACACCTCCTGGTCCCACTTCCTTCATCACCTCGCCTTATCCTACCTGCTGCCTCACTCCTTACTACTAGGCAAGGCACCACCTATAACCTCCATCACGCCTCTCTTGACACTGTGCTTCGCGTCCATCCCCTCCCACACCCTTGTGCTCTGCCCCCTGCCGTGCGCTGCCGTGGGTGGCACGAGCATCAGGTGCGAGCTGGTGTTTGAGGACTGCTTCGTGCCGCATCGTGCTTTGCATCCATTCCGTCCCACACCCCCTGCCCTGCCTGCCCCATGCCTTGCCCCCCGCCCCCTGCCGTGCGCTGCCGTGGGTGGCACGAGCATGATCAGGTGCGAGCTGGTGTTTGAGGACTGCTTCGTGCCGCGCGACAACGTTCTGGGACAGGAGGGCCGAGGTGCGCATGCTGCTGCTGCTGCTGCTGCTCTGTACTGTGCTCTGCTGTATGCCATGTGCTGTATGCAATGTGCGCTCTGCACCATTCAGACGCTCCCACATGACACCCCCCTCATGCGCCCCTGCACACACACCCTCTCACCTCCCTCCCACACCACTGCATCCTCGTCTCCCACCCACCACTTCTGTCTCCTTCTCCGCCTACCCCCCTCTAATTCCTTCTCCCCTCCCCCTACCTCTTCTTCCCCTCTCCCCCCCTTCACCGGGAGAGCACGTGCTGATGTCGGGGTTGGAGTCGACTTGGAGAGGGTGGTGCTGGCAGCGGGGCCTAGTTTTGAGGCGCCTCAAAATTAGTCCCTCCCCTCTCCCTCTCCCCCCCCCTTCACCAGGAGTGCAAGTGTTGATGTCGGGGTTGGACCTGGAGCGAGTGGTGCTGGCAGCGGGGCCACTGGGGCTAATGGCGGCGGCCATGGACGTGGTGCTGCCGTACGTGCACCAGCGCCAGCAATTCGGACAGCCCATCGGCCAGTTCCAACTCATTCAGGTGCCCCCGTGCTCCCGTGCTTTTGTGATCTCACGCTCTTGAGTCGACTCAAAAGGGCCGCTGGGGCTGATGGCAGTGGCCATGGACGTGGTGCTGCCCTACGTGCACCAGCGCCAGCAGTTCGGACAACCCATCGGCCAGTTCCAACTCATCCAGGTGCGCCCGTGCTGCTGTGCTGCCGTGCTCACATGCTCACATGCTCCCGTGCTCACATGCTCCCGTGCTCACATGCTCCCGTGCTCACATGCTCCTGTGCTCACATGCTCCCGTGCTCACATGCTCCCGTGCTCACATGCTCCCGTGCTCACATGCTGCCGTGCTCACATGCTGCTGTGCTGCCATGCTTTTAGATGCTAGTGCTGCTGGCATGCTGAATGGTCTCCCATCACTCTCAATCAACTGCCATGGAATTGCATGTGCGCTCACGGGCCCTGCTCCCATGTGCCGCCACTCACAACTTCAAACCCCCCAACACCCCATGTGCCTCGTCTCCCTCTGGCCCATCCCATCAACCCTCTCATTACCACTCTCAACCCAGGGCAAGCTCGCAGACATGTACTGTGCTGTTCAGGCCTCAAGGTCAGTTTCTCTTTGCCCACTCTGCCCTCTCTGCCCACTGCCCTGACACATGTTTCCTGCCACCCCAGTTATCGCCTCTTCTCATGTTATGCTCTCGCTCTTGCATTGAGGCAAGCCCTTGCTCAGCCAGAGCACACGGCTTTCACAGCTCCAGTCCACTCCACCAATAGAAGCTTCTTGGACTAACGACTACCCAACCGTGCCGTGGCCTTCCCTGTGCCCCGCCTCTGCCCTGCTCTCCCCTTCCACGCGTCCTCCCGCATGCCCTCCCATGTGTGTGGGTGTTGGTGCTACAGGGCGCTGGTGTACAGTGCTGCCATGGCATGTGACCGGGGCCATGTCAATCGTAAGGTGTGCCTCTCTGCCTTGTGCCTCTACATGCATCGCCAGCAGCCTTTGCTCTGGTCTCATTTCCTTGTCAGTGCTGGGGGGTGTGATGCTTTGCAATCCCACCCACCTCTTCCTTTAGCTTACTCACTCCTCCCCACCCCCCTCTCCCTCCCCTCTCCCTCCCCCCTCCCCTACACCTGCAGGATTGTGCGGCAGCCATTCTATTTGCTGCGGAGAATGCCACGCAGGTCGCCTTGCAGGTACCGCCCGCTTCTCCTCCCCATGCCACACACTCTTTCACTCCCTCCACTCCCACATCCCCTCTCTTTCGCATCCCACACACATCTCCTCATCACTCCCCCCTAGCACCGACCACCTTCCATCCACATCACCTCACCTCTCCCCTCATTCACCCCTATCCCCACACCCTCACCTCACAAACCATTCTCTCTCCACCTCTTCCCCCCACACGCCCCCTCAATAACACGTACCTGCTACCTCCCCCCCTCTTCACCCAACCCACAGGCCATCCAGTGTCTGGGCGGCAACGGGTACGTGAACGAGTACCCAACAGGGCGCCTGCTGCGCGACGCCAAGCTCTATGAGATTGGCGCGGGCACCAGTGAGATTCGCCGCATGCTCATTGGTCGCGAGCTCTTCCGCGAGACCGAGTGACTCGTGACGTAATTGTGATGTGACGGCACGATTTATTGTAGTACGGTAGCCCTTGGAGGTGGCGGTGGCAGTGCGCAGTGCATCGCAGTTCTGTACATTTGCTGGGACAACTGCTGCTGTGCCTGCATACACGCTGTGTCAGATGTTTGCAGTGACTTTTCTTCCCTTTCCCCCAGTTCGCTTCATTGTATATAGCTTTAGACTGGCTATGTATATTGTAATTGATTCTCCTTGTTCGAGCGGTGAAAAGGAGTGTGTAACCCAATCTGGTGTGAGACTGATCCATCCATCCATGGTGACTTATTCCTGTTGCAAGTATTTAAACTCTATTCATGGATACTGCATCTGAGTTAGGCAGGCAGGTACTACTGATTACATTCCTAGTGCCTTCTTCCTGAGCAGGAAGTGAAACCAAACATCGCTCATTTCTGGGAATTTGCATCCTGGAATTTGCATTGGCAGACAGGCGCTTTACACCTGACTGCGTGGTAGGCAATGTACCACTGTGCTCATGCTACTCCACCTCATCTGCTTCAACTAAACAACACACTCCCTGTGTACCGTATGTCACCTTCCACATGGCCTTTTTTCCAATGGCACCCTTCTCACTGCAGGCCGCAGGTGTCATGCCATATTGCAGCAATTGCTCACCTCACCGACATTGCACATGAGTTCTTCTGTTAGTCTGTTAGGTGCTCCATACGACTACCGTAACTACCGCACACCACCATACTGCACTGGCGATGGTTCACACCACCGGGCTGAATCCACTCAGCAGCATCACTGGTGCGTGCCCACTGCCTGCGCTGCCTCTTCTTGCACCTGCTGGCCACCACTGCCCCTCTCCTGCCCCTCCGTGTGCACGCGCACATATCCCACCGGGGGACACCGCAGATACGTCACTGCCGCCTTGCTGTTGCCCAGGAACACCCGCGCCTGGGGGAACGAGAGAGAGAGGGGAGGGGCGGAGAGAGAGCGGGGAGAGGAGGGAGAAGAGAGGGGGAGGGCAGAGTGGAAGGGACGGATGGAGGGAGGTGAGGGAGAGGGAGAGAGAGAGGGAGCGAGGGGGGAAATGGGAGGAATATAGAGGCCATGATATGCATGGCTTGGATGCGGCAGTGTGGTAGCACGTGAGACGAACATGAACATGGGCACAGGCATGGGCACAGGCATGGGCACAGGCATGGGCACAGGCATGGGCATGGGCATAGCATGCGGTATGACCTGGTTCACAGCATCCTGTATGGTGTCTGCCATCTCCCACCGCAGCACTGCTGGCCCCCGCGGGTCCACAGCACCCACTACGTACACCTTGCCCACCTGCCGGGGGAGGGAATGGGGTAGCGGGAATATGTACGTGCCATACACCCCACTCCCCACTCCCCATCCCCCCCCCCCCCCCCCCCCCCGCACACCCCACGCCCAACAAGCGCACCTTATGCATGCCATGAGCGGCCCGCGTGTACATGTAAGACCCATGCACGAGACCCATACGCCCAATACCCCATACCCTCCTACACCACACCCCACAGCACACACCTTATCCATGCCATGTGCGGCCCAGGTGTACGGCAGCAGGCCCCAGGCCCTGGCGGTAGATATCACAGAGCTGTGGGAAGCGCTCAAACTCGTCCAGCCCTGGCGCGACTGCTAGCACGTCCTCAAAGAGGTGCCGGTATGCGTCGTGTGCGGGGGATGACCACTCGTAGTGCATGTCGTTCACCACTATCCGCGGCGCTGTGGAAACGCGGAGCGGGATGGGGTGGGACGGGATGGGATGGGGTCGGGCAGGGTGGGAGGTTTTCCTGCCCTTCCTCCCACAACCACAACCCACCCACAAGCACCCACCCACATCCATCCACACACACCCAACCATTCACCACCCAACCACAAATCGAACCACCCACCCCCATCCACCCAACCACACACCAACGCCCAACAAACCACACCTACCAACCGTCCACAACTCTGCACCAACCCATCCCTGTCCTCATGGATTGCCTTGCCCCCTTGCCATGCCAGGGCTGCCATTGCCCCCATGCCATACCAGGGCTGCCAGTCCGCCCATTCCTCCCCTCATGGCCACTCAATACAAGGGTTTCACACCCTTACCCTCTCACCCACCCAACCCTAGGGGATTCACCCCTTCCTTCTCACTCCACCCAAAGGGATTCACCCCTTCCTTCTCACCCATCCCACCCAAGGGGATTCTCCCCTTCCTTCTCACCCATCCCACCCAAGGGAATTCACCCCTTCCTTCTAACCCATCCCACCCAAGGGGATTCACCCCTTCCTTCTCACCCATCCCACCCAAGGGGATTCACCCTTTCCTTCTCACCCTCCCACCCAAGGGGATTCACCCCTTCCTTCTCACCCATCCCACCCAAGGGGATTCACCCCTTCCTTCTCACCCACCCAACCCAAGGGGATTCACCCCGTCCTTCTCACCCATCCCACCCAAGGGGATTCACCCCTTCCTTCTCACCCATTCCCCCCCAAGGGGATTTAGTCCCCTTCCCTCTCACCCACCCAACCCAAGGGGATTCATGTCCCTTCACTCTCACCCGCTCAAGGGGATTCAGGCCCCTACTCTCTCATCCGCTCAAGGGGATTCAGTCCCCTTCTCTTTCACCCACCCAACCCAAGGGGATTCATGTCCCTTCACTCTCACCCGCTCAAGGGGATTCAGGCCCCTACTCTCTCATCCGCTCAAGGGGATTCAGTCCCCTTCTCTTTCACCCACCCAACCCAAGGGGATTCATGTCCCTTCACTCTCACCCGCTCAAGGGGATTCAGGCCCCTACTCTCTCATCCGCTCAAGGGGATTCAGTCCCCTTCTCTTTCACCCACCCAACCCAAGGGGATTCATGTCCCTTCACTCTCACCCGCTCAAGGGGATTCAGGCCCCTACTCTCTCATCCGCTCAAGGGGATTCAGTCCCCTTCTCTTTCACCCACCCAACCCAAGGGGATTCATGTCCCTTCACTCTCACCCGCTCAAGGGGATTCAGGCCCCTACTCTCTCATCCGCTCAAGGGGATTCAGTCCCCTTCTCTTTCACCCACCCAACCCAAGGGGATTCATGTCCCTTCACTCTCACCCGCTCAAGGGGATTCAGGCCCCTTCTCTCTCATCCGCTCAAGGGGATTCAGTCCCCTTCCCTCTCATCCGCTCAAGGGGTTTCAGGCCCCTTCTCTCTCACCCACCCCCACCCAGCCCATCCCCACCTTCACCTGCCAGCAGTAGGAGCAGCAGAAAGCCCACTTTCTTAAGGAAACAACACCCTTAGAGGCGGTGCCTTGTGGGGCGAGGTGTGGTAGTGGGAAATTGCTTCCAGCCCAAGACTCAAATCCCACCCCTGACGTAGCCAGAGCTGACGCGAACCAGAGCCGCCGGCCGGTCGGCTCTGACGGTGTCCATTAGGCCTTGAACGCCAGATCGGTTACTTGAGCACCGAGTGCCGTGCCGCGCAGATTCCACCCACCACACCCCGACCCACAACACACAACCCCAGAAGGTGCTGCCCCTAAGGCAGTGAACTGCCCACTCACTCCCATGCTTCCCACCCACCCACCCACCCCACACTTCACCCCCATGCATCCTTACCTCTACGTACCTCTACCTACCAGAGCCATGCAGAGCGCCATGATGCCTTAGGCTGCTGGGAAGGGGGTGGGGGAAGGGAGGGGGGGATGAACGGAAGGAGGGGACTCCACTGTGGTCCAGGCAGGGTGCTGCTGGGAGGGAAGGGAAAAGGGAGAGAGGAGGAGGTGAGTGAGAGGGTGGACTTCACTCTCCTGTCCTTGCTCCAGTGCTCCCACTCTCAGGCTGCAAAAACGACAAGGGGAGGAGGGGGAAGAGAGAGAGGAGAGAATCAGACTACCATACCTCACCTGATACCTTACCTCACCTGATACCTTACCTCACCTGCTACCGTACCATACCTGATACCACACCTCCCCACAGCTTCAGCTAGCCTAGCCTTCCCCCTAACCCCCCACCCCCACCGCTGCTACACCTGCTGCCGCCGCTGCTTCTGCTGCTGCAACTGCTGCTGCCAGACTGCTACTCGGCTTCCTCTTTTGCAATCTTCTCTTGTTGCCAAGTAACCTGGTAGCGGGCAGAAAGTGGTGGGGGGTGGGGGGGGGGAAGGAGAGGGACGGGAGAGGAGGGGCAGGAGGAGCGAGTAAGTTGGCATCAAGGAAACACTAGAGTAAACCGAAGAACACTAGAGTGGACAAAAACGAGAATGCAGAATTGAAGAGAGGGAAATGAGGCATCTGTAGCAGGGAGGGGAAAAGAGGCTCACCTTGCTTCAGACAACCCAGCCCGATACTCTCCCTTCCAATCCCAGCCGAGTGCAGTGCTGCCCCTCTACCCTCCCACCACAGCCACCTGCACGGCCACAGGGGAGAGACGTGAGGGAGTGGCGGTGTTGACCCCCACGCCCCTCTCCTCCACCTGCAATGGCCCACAGAGAAATAGTGAGTGACTGGAGGAGAGGCGAGGGGGTGAAGGAGGAGATGCACGATCAGAAGAAGCAGAGGGGAAGGGGCCAGAGGTGCAACCTCAGTTACAAGCCACAGACCCAAGGGGGAAATACACCTAGGAAGGCTTAACCTGAGAGTATACCTGCTGTACCAGGGGGGATGTACCTTAGAAAAAACGGGTCTGTGGCTTGAAGCTTTGGCTGAACCAGAGGCTTGCATTTGAAGCGAGAAGAAACAGGAGATGCAGCAAAGAACACAAGAGAGAACTGGAGTAGAGAGGCAGGGCAGGAACTTAGCTGCGGGTGGGTTGGGTGGAGAGCAGTTGCTGCCTGTGCACTCCATGTCCCCCGCCACTGCCACTTCTGTATGAGTGAGGGGAAGGAGGGGGGGGAGGGGAGGGAGGCAGGGAGCAAGGGACAGCAGTGAGCATGGTGGGGAGAAGAGCAAGCAACGGCGTAAGAGAAAGAAAGAACAGACATTCAAGCATCTGAGGCAGGGAGGGAAAAGAGGCTCACCTTGGTTCAGACGACCCATCCCAATACTCTCCCACCCATCCCAGCCGAGTGGAGTGCTGCCCCCCTCCCCTCCCACCACTGCCACCCGCACGGCCACAGGGGAGAGACGTGAGGGAGTGGCGGTGTTGACCCCCACGCCCCTCCCCTCCACCTGCAATGGCCCACAGAGAAATAGTGAGTGACTGGAGGAGAGGCGAGGGGGTGAAGGAGGAGATGCACGGTCAGAAGAAGCAGAGGGGAAGAGGCCACTGGTGCAACCTCAGAAACAAGCCACAGACCCAAGGGGGAAATACACCTAGGAAGGCTTAACCTGAGAGTATACCTGCTGTACCAGGGGGGATCTACCTTATAAAAAAAGGGTCTGTGGCTTGAAGCTTTGGCTGAACCAGAGGCTTGCGTTTGAAGCGAGAAGAAACAGGAGATGCAGCAAAGAACACAAGAGAGAACGGGAGTAGAGAGGCAGGGCAGGAACTTAGCTGCGGGTGGGTTGGGTGGAGAGCAGCTGCTGCCTGTGCACTCCATGTCCCCCGCCACTGCCACTTCTGTATGAGTGAGGGGAAGGAGGGGGGGGAGGGGAGGGAGGCAGGGAGCAAGGGACAGCAGTGAGCATGGTGGGGAGAAGAGCAAGCAACGGCGTAAGAGAAAGAAAGAACAGACATACAAGCATCTGAGGCAGGGAGGGAAAAGAGGCTCACCTTGGTTCAGACGACCCATCCCGATACTCTCCCATCCCATCCCAGCCGAGTGGAGTGCTGCCCCCCTCCCCTCCCACCACTGCCACCTGCACGGCCTCTGGGGAGGGGCGTGAGAGAGCGTCGGTGTTGACCCCACACCTCTCCCCGCCACCTGCAATGGCCCACAGAGAAGTAGTGAGTGACTGGAGGAGAGGCGAGGGGGTGAAGGAGGAGATGCACGGTCAGAAGAAGCAGAGGGGAAGAGGCCACTGGTGCAACCTCAGTTACAAGCCACAGACCCAAGGGGGAAATACACCTAGGAAGGCTTAACCTGAGAGTATACCTGCTGTACCAGGGGGGATCTACCTTATAAAAAAGGGTCTGTGGCTTGAAGCTTTGGCTGAACCAGAGGCTTGCGTTTGAAGCGAGAAAGAAACGGGAGATGCAGCAAAGAACTCAAGAGAGAACGGGAGTAGAGAGGCAGGGCAGGAACTTAGCTGCGGGTGGGTTGGGTGGAGAGCAGCTGCTGCCTGTGCACTCCATGTCCCCCGCCATTGCCACTTCTGTATGAGTGAGGGGAAGGAGGGGGGGGAGGGGAGGGAGGCAGGGAGCAAGGGACAGCAGTGAGCATGGTGGGGAGAAGAGCAAGCAACGGCGTAAGAGAAAGAAAGAACAGACATTCAAGCATCTGAGGCAGGGAGGGAAAAGAGGCTCACCTTGGTTCAGACGACCCAGCCCGATACTCTCCCATCCCATCCCAGCCGAGTGGAGTGCTGCCCCCCTCCCCTCCCACCACTGCCACCTGCACGGCCACTGGGGAGGGGCGTGAGAGAGCGTCGGTGTTGACCCCACACCTCTCCCCGCCACCTGCAACGCGCACACACAGAGCTAGTCAGAGCGCGGTGGTGGGAGCAAGTTGAAGGGGAGACTGTGACTTGAAATCCAGCGCAAGGGAAGGGAGGAGGAGCCACTGGTGGAGGCACGGCCACAAGCTGCAGACCCAAGGGCACCTGAAAAAGAACCTGAGGGGTGAACCTGCACCTGAAGGGGTTACCTGCACTACACCTAAGGGGGTTACCTGAAGTGAGGAGTCTGAGGCATGTAAATCGTGCTCAACCAGTGGCATTGTTTCAAAGGGAAGGGCGAAAGCACAATCGACAAACGAACTGGCAGCAACAAAACAACAAGCCATGATGTGGCGGGCAAGGGTGGGGGCATGGAAGTGGGTGACTTTGCTGATAGCGTGAGGGCGAGCTCAAGGCAACTGCAGCACCACCAGCTGCCTCCCTCCGCAGCAGCCCTCCTCCAGGTGCCTCCTCCCTGCACGGCCACAGGGGAGGGGCGTGAGGGAGCGTCGGTGTTGACCCCACACCCCTCCCCACCACCTGCAATGCGCACACACAGTGCTAGTCAGAGCACAGTGGTGGGAGCAAGTTGAATGGGAAACCGTGACTTGAAATCCAGTGCAAGAGAATGGAAGCAGAGCCACTGTTGGAGGCACAGCCACAAGCTACAGACCCAAGAGCACCTGAAAAGGAACCTGAGGGGCGTACCTGCACCTGAGAGGGTTACCTGCACCTGAGGGGGTTACCTGAAGAGTGGAGGTCTGTAGCATGTGAACGGGGCCCAACCAGTGGCGAGTATTCAGGGAAAAAACACAGAAGCCCATGCGAAAGCGACAAGAGTAATTCAGCATGAGCAGTGAGCAGCAGGCAAGAGTGAGTCCAGGGAGGCGAAAGCACTTAGCTGGCAGCTGAAGAGCCGCCGAGAGATGCTGCCTCATGTCCCCTTCCCTCCCCTCCCCTCCCCTGCTGCACCAGTGCTCGCCACTGCTGATGCTGCTGCAACTGGTCCCGTCAGCTGCCTCTGCTGCATTGCAAGTGACCTGGAGGGGGGCAGAACGGAAGGGAAGGCCAAGTGGGGAGTGAGTGCAGGCCTTGAAACAGGCACGGGTGAATCAAAGGGATGAGCGCAAGAGGGCAACTTAGCCGAAAACGAGTGCAGCGGGAAAGAGAGGTAAGAGGCTTACCTTGAGAGGCCAAGCCCATCCCGATACTCTCCCTTGCTGCAGTGGGATTGCCATGCTGCAGTGCTGCCTCCCTCCCGTCCCCACGAGTCCCTGCACGGCCACAGGGGAGGGGCGTGGGGAAGCGTCGGTGTTGACCCCAGCGCCCCTCCCCTCCACCTGCAATGCGCACACACGGCAGTGGTCAGTATGCATGGTATGGGCACAACACTAGCCAGAGACCGGAACTGCCAAATGTGAAAGAGGGCCACTGATTGAGGCAAGGCCACACGCCACAGACGCCAAGGGAACCTGCACCTGAGGGGGGGACCTGCACCTGAGAGGGGGACCTGCACCTGAGAGGGTTACCTGCACCGCACCTGAGGAGATACCTGAAGTGTGGGGGTCTGTGGCATGTGAACCGCGCTGGACCAGTGGCATTGTTTCAAAGGGAAGAGCGTACAACCGGCAAACGAAATGACATGCAAAGAAGGTGACGGCATGGAGGAGGGTTACTTAGCTGGTGGCGTGAGGGCGAGCTCAAGGCAGCTGCAGCACCACC